AGAACAAATGAAAAAATCGCATCCATTCATCACAATATTCTTTCAAGAATAAAAATGTTGATCCATTCTTAAAGAATAATGCCCTATTCTAGAAGAATATCGGTCTATTCTGTTGATCCATTCTTTATCTCCATGTATTCTGAAAGAATATATTTCAATAATATTTTTTTTCTCAAAAAATGTAGGTGGTTTATATTCTAAAGAATATATCATTTTTTTTTTTCATTTTGATTATATGATTCTTATAATGACGTAAGTATGAGCTTATCATTTATATATTAGTTAAAATGTTTACCGATTCTGAAAGAATGTAACATATTAGATTATATTCACTTATTCTTAAAGAATTATATGCATAAGGGATTATAATTATGAAATTGGAATTATACAAAAAAAAAATTAAAAAACCAATGAAATACTAAAATCCATATGAATCAATAAATTAAAATTAAAAAAATAGCAAAAATCTGGGAAATTCTCAAATTCTTAAAGAATAAATTAATAATATTCTAAAAGAATTCAATGAATGCGAATTAAAAAAAAGGAAAATTCTGGAATTAATATATACGAACATTTAAAAAATGAATTAGTTTTTAAAAACCATGTTTTTTAAATTAAAAGAATTAATTATCCCTTAAAATTCAGAATTTTCTATAATTAAATGTACTTTAAATTAGGGCTGTAAACGAACCGAACAAACATGAACATCATGTTCGTTCGTTTAAGTTAGCCGAACAAATGAACGAACACGAACGAATAAACAAACGAGTTTCTTGTTCATGCTCGTTCGTTTGACAAATTACATTGTTCATGTTCGTTCGTTTATGTTCGTGAACAAGTTAAATGAATGAACATAAATGAACAAAGATAAAAAAAAAAAAAAACATAACTGAACATATAATATAGTAATGTAATCAAACACAATTAAACATATATGAACATAAAATAAACTTATATAAACGAATATAAACAAACGTAAATGAACAACATAAATGAACGTAAACGAACAACATAAACGAACGTTTACGAACATAATTGAACGAACGAGACCATTTTTCATGTTCGTTCGTTAACTAAACGAACAAGAATTTATGTTCGTGTTCGTTCATTTATTAAATAAACGAACTTCCCACTGAACGGTTCATAAACAGTTCGCTGAACGTTCAGTTCATTTACAACCCTACCGACTTAAATACCATTTACAATGATTTTAGTGTTATTATACTATACATGCTCTCATATTTTAACAGCATGCACCCTAAATCACTTCCATTCATAATTTTCATCCAAGGATCCAAAATCGTTCCTATAACCACACAATATTTGTTGTCCACAATATAACCAAGCCCTCTCTCTCTCTCTC